TAGCCGGCAGAATTCTGGTCTAAAAGATTCCCATCTCTGCCACAGATGAAAAATTTTTACCTCAGACCAGGTTGGAACACACGACCTCCGACTATGTAGCCCAACGGTACACAGTGGGTGTTCGGAAACCCTCGTTTGATCTAAGATACAAAGATGATACGTAACTTACCTGTAGTTGTAACCTCGCAGTTTGAGTTCCTTGTAAATATCAGTTTTGTCCAATCGTAGCTCGTTTCTTCCGCTGATCGAGATTGGAGCGCACAACATGGGAGAATCACTTTTGCTTACCGTGCCAATCCTGCCGGTCACAACTACAACGCCCGATTCCGCTACCTGTGAGTACAAAACTGTTAAAAAATCAAGGTAAGGGGGGGGGTTACGGCCACAATCCTGGTTCGAAATTGGCAAGTTGGTCGACCTAGAAAGTGTTTGGGTGGGAATCAACCCGTTCGGCATAAAGGCGGAGGTGAAGAAGTGCCCCAATCATTGGGGAATTCATGAGGGGCCCACAAGCTGCGGCAAAACACCTACGAAACCGATGTTTCAATTGTGTGCAAGAGGGACACTATAAGGAGAAATGTCATAAGCCAGAACCGGAAGTGAGGGGTGTACGAAGAGGAGGGACATGCCACTTGCCAAAATTTAAAGAGGCAATTCTCTCGATCGCGCAGCCCAAAACGCCAGACAATATTCGGCGGACATTATATCACAGCTGGGGAAAGAGAATGCGACGGGAGGACTTTTCACAGACTTAAAGTGGAAAGTGGTTATTATGTCGGTTAATAGGGACATCTGTGTTCAGAAGTGTGAACTCTGGGGGGGGGTGTCCAACTTGAAGAGTGGTACATTTCTAATGTGGTGAGAGGGCCCGAAAAACCATAGTGGTAGGAGACGTGAGAGAGAGAGAGAGAGACAGAGAGAAAGAGAGAGAGAGAGAAGTCTCAAAAAGGGCGGAACAGTAGGAGGATCAACCGCGCGGCCCTGAAAACGACGCTACGGAGGACAGGCAACTAGAACCGCAACTCACTGAGTACCTCGAAAGAGTATGTGGCAAAACCAAGCCGAGGATATGACCACCCTCGAAGTTTGCCGAGGAGTACGCGGATACGGTAACGGAACTGTTCCCCAAACATCCGGATCTGGCACCGTAAACGGTCGGTGGTGGACATTCCCCCGGTGACGACCGCAGGGCTTCCAACATACAAAGCACCTGGTCCAGATCAAGTTCTGGTCGAAATAGTTAAGGCGCCCTTCGGAAGCAAAAGAGGAAGAGTGGTTCGAAGTGTTTAGAAGGAGCAAGAATATGACAAGATTAATTCATGATGAGCCCACGAGCTGTGGCAAGGACCTAAGAAACCGATGTTTCAATTGTGTGCAAAACGGACACTATAAAGAGAAATGTCACAACCCTAAAAGGTGCGGGGTATGCGAAGAGGACAGAGTTTTAGTTGGTAAATCTCACTTAGATGGAAGGGAATTCCAAATACCGCCGCTGTAGAGCCCCCTAGCCGGAAAGTTCCTAATGCGGTCGAAGATCGGTCTAGGGAGTAAAAAAAGAAGAAAGAAACAAAAGAGGAAGAGTGGTTCAAAGTGTTTAGGAGGAGCAAGAAAATTACAAGATCTCCGGAACAAAGGAAAGCGGGGAGAGCGGAATAGAAAAAGGGGAAATGGGAGAATTGAGGGGAGAAGAACACGAGAAATTAATGGAAGGGGATGGATGGAGCACTCGCACCAAATTTCCCGCGTAACGTCGGACATAGGATCAAGGGAAAAAATGAAGATAGGAAAAGGGCGGATAAGGAAAAAGAAGGATAACTAAACTCGAAGAACAAAATGAAAGAAAAAGGAAGAATAAAGAACAACATAAAAGGGAATAGGGATGGAAAAAGAGAGAGAGGCGTTCTCTCACAAAACGCTTACTCCTCATCAGGGAAATAAAAACAGAATAGAATTTTTGGAAGGTGATAAACAAAGGAAAAAAGAAAAATATAACAAGTGGGAGGTAAACATAATTAGAGGAATAGAAACAACATTTTGCCAAGTTACTACAAGGAAAGAGGCGGCTATGGCAGAGAGCAAAGACTAAAGAAAGAGAAAGCGACAGAAAGAAGCGAGATAGGTAATAAGGTTTCGGTTTTCGCCACTGATAAGGTTAAGGAACGGATGAGACGTCTAGTAAATAAGATTGGTATGGAAAGGAAGAGGTTTACTCGAAGAAGGGAAGGGAAGGGCTAATTGTGAAACTATAGGAGGAATTACTGTAATGACTACCGCGTGTAGAATCTATGCAATGAACTGTACGAAACAATGAAAGGGAAATGGAAGAGAAGAGGATGTTGGAGAAAACACAAACGGGCATCAGAAAAGGGAGGGGCACGATTGACTGGTGGAAAAGGAATTAGCAAAAAGGGCGGAAAGGTGTGTGCGTTTTTCATGGACTGGACAACGTGGAAGGGAAAACGTATGGAAGATGACGGAAGATGTTAAAATTGACAAGGATTTAAAGGACAGAATCAAGGAACCATATGAAGAGACAACATTGAGGGCAAGAATAGGAAGAATAGGAAGAATGTAAAGAATAGGAAGAATGTAAAGAATGTGAAGAACGTGAAGAACGTGAAGAACGTGAAGAACGTGAAGAACGTGAAGAACGTGAAGAACGTGAAGAACGTGAAGAACGTGAAGAACGTGAAGA